GCTCCAGCCACGACCTCGCTCTGCCTCTCACCTCTCTCTCTTTCCTACTTCCAGTTTCTGCCTCTTCCCTTATTCCCTCTCCCCAACTCAGTGCTTCTCAGCCTTTTTCCCCATTAATTACCCCCCAGGGGGCTTTTTAGACCCAATTGCCCCTTGCCTCCCACGCAATCTTACCAAAGAGACCCATGGTGCACCTGTGTTATGTTCTGTGGCCCCCTTGGAGGACCACAAGCCATTGTAATGGCTGAGACTTTCTGTCCTCCAAGACAGAAAGTTGTCCAGTTTTTGCCCCCTAGGGGTGTCGCCTCCCCAATTGAGAATGCACGCCTTCACCCAACTCAGGCCAGGTCCTCAAGAATTTTCCAACAGGCTGCTGCCCATTCTCTTCCCCTCCCTACCGCACAGCTTCTTGGAAGTCCACACCGCTAGCGCCTCTTCAAAGCAACCAAATCAGGTGCACTCTGCTGGCCCTGCAGTCAAGAACTTCTGCTTGGCACAGCTCTAAAAGGATGTCTCCTCCTGGTGGGGCATGCGTGTGCAGGGCTGTACGTGAGTGTGTGGTTGATTCTTTCTGGTTGGCATATGACGATTGTTCAGATATCGAAGTTTGTTCATCTGAAACATTGTTAGTAGGCCCCAGAAACCAGCAGCTGCAGATTCCCACCAACCAGAAAAAAAACAGACTGGAAAAAAATGGCAACAGCTGCAATTTCATTACATGAAGTGACAGCTACCACCGAACTTCATGGCCTGGTATTTCTAATCATGGAATGAGAAAAAGAGAGCCTAAAAGCACTAAGGAAGGCCGACTGAATGCACATTTCACTTCTGTGGTAACTTCACTCTAGTGAAGAAATGATTTTATCTTTTTGCACAAGGAGGCGTGGGCTTCCTCTTGGGTTAGAAAATGGCAATGCACGGTCAGCAGTTTTGCAGAGGGCTGGGGTGGGGGGGAGGCCTGCACAGGCCTCTTGCTGATGTCCACATTTTTGGTTCAACACCTCTATTTTGAGTGTCTACCCTGTACCAGGCACTGCCAGGTGGTGAGTGCACAATGGTGAGCAAAAGGCAGACCCAGGGCAGCCATCACCGAGACTGAGTCTGATGGGAGAGAGTGAGATACTAAACACATGACCATACAAATAAATGCAAAGTCACTTATGGTACCGGCCATAGGGAGACACGGAAGATACTCTAAAGTACTGTGGTCCTGGGTCAGAGCTAGCTTTGCCTGAACTGACGACGGGAGTGTGTTCCCCACTGAAGGAACGGCATGTGCAAAGGCCCTGCGGCAAGAAGGAGCTTGGTGTGTGCAAGAAGTCTCGTGGGACCAGACCCAGAAAGCATGAGGGGCAGCACTGATGCAAAATACACCTGGAGATGAACAGGCAGGGTCCAGCCACGCAGGATTTCATGAGGCAGATTAAGGACTTGGGTCTTTATCTTGACGGTGATAAAGTGGGAAATCTCCGCATGTTTTTAGCAGAGGAACGAAATGATCATTTCACATTCTGAAAAGACCACTCTGCCGCGGTAGGAGGCCAAGGTGGATATAAAAAACCAGTTAGGAATCCACGAGAGAAGATGGTAGCTTAGGCTTGGGTATTGTTGGTGGGACAGACAAGGAGAACAGAGAGAACTGAAGAATAGTCGGGAGTCAAAATGGACAGGGCCTGGTGATGGATTGGATGTGGGAGATGAGATCAATGTGTGGCTGCTTAATTCACTCTACATTTCCTCCCAGAACGCAAAATAGATATGCTAGTTCCTCGTTAATCAGGTTTCACTCTCTACAAAGGAAAGCCAGTTAACTTCACAAATAGGGCACCTAATCATTATCTTACTCATCTCGTGAGTCTGTTTTGATTACTGCATTTACTCTACCTGATTCAATCCAAAGTCAGAAAAACCCGCATTAAATGAGGAGGTTTAAGAATTGTTTTTAATGAACCATAGACATGAGCTATAACGACCATCAGAATCTTTATTAGAAGCCTACTCAAAAATGCAAACATCTTGTTTGGTTTGTACTTATTAGGTTGAAATAGTTACATTTAACTGTAACTAAGGAAGGTTTAGTCTGCTTCTAACTTTGGCATCACTAATGTCTTCTGAACTGTGTTAAGTTAGTCACACGGATTTCTACAAGTGGATATAATATAAAGAGACCTTTTTTTTCTTTTTGCATTTGACACCCAAGACTGATTTTAAATCTTCCTTAGTTCTTTATCTCATGTGTTAAAAATGCAAAGAAAACATAGTTCCAGCATGGTGAGCCATGTGTTATCCTTTGAAAATTGGCAGTTAAGACCCTTAAATAGGTCCAGCTTAAAAAAAAGTCATTGCAATTCCAATTATTTTGTTGTCTCACACTTGGAGCTTCCATTACTTATAACATTAAAAAAAACCTAGGCAGCATGACTCATTCCTTTGCTCACTAAGCATTTAGCAGCCATCGCTACACACGGGGCACTGGAGAAACCAAGGAGACCTCAGGGGGCTCACAGCGGGCGGCAGGCCAGGGATGGCTAGAGGACAGAGCGTTATGGCGGGGGAGGGGAGGATGGGTCGGCAAGGAGAGGGCGCCACGCGGCCAGTGACAGGGCACGGGGCGTCCTGGGGGAGGCCGAGGCAGGCACCCCATGTCTGTGAAGGTGAGAGGATGGAGGTGTTGGGAGGGAAGGTAAAGGTGGGCAGCGAGGGGTCCTAAGCCGTGCAGGAAAGGTTTTAATTCACACTGAAGGGCACAGGCTGGCCAGTGAAGGATGTGTGTCGAGCAGAAGAGTTACAGGTCCAGGTTTGCTCTTCAGAACCACTACATCCGGAGCATATGTGTGGAGGCATCAGAGAACGGACTGGAGCGAGGGGCGATGTAGGGACCAGGGAGACTGCTACACGACACAGCCAAGGAACCGGCAGAGCCTCAACAAGGGAAGGGTGCAGGCAAGGGGAGCGATGAGCAGGCTGGGGCTAGAGGACGCAGTGACCGGCTGGACACGGAGCGAGAGGGACGATTCCAAGGGGACTCCAGTTTCAGGCCGGGGGGGAGGGTGTGGCCACTGGTTAGACCGGAGCGGAGATGGGGGGTCGGGAGGAGGAAGTGGCTTTTTCAGTTCGGGGACCTGTGGGTCTTTCAGGAGACACGGCTCAGGAGGCAGCCGAACCAGGGGGAATCTGGACGCGAGAGGAAGGGCGTGGGCTGCAGGTAAGAGGCTGGCGGTGAGCAGCGCAGAGATGTGCAGAGAGAGGCCGCCCAGGGAGCGAGGGCAGGACGAGGAAAGAAGTGGGCAGGGGAGCATCGGTGTCGCGGGGCCAGCAGAAGCAGCAGGGCTTAGGGGAGGCAGAAGGAGAACAACGGAGCGGGGTGGGGAGGGGGGAGAAGGGGTGAAGCTGGGGTGACTTGCAGGGGCTTCAGGGGAGGGAGCAGTGGAGGAAGGAAGCAGACAAGGGCCAGAACCCATTTACGTTCAGTCCTGGGCAGGGGGGCCACCGCTAACCTGGAGGGGACAGCTCTGGGCGTGGTGCAGAAGAGATTTCCCTCCCCCACCCCACGACAGGACTCCCACAAGGACAGCAGTGTCCATCGGTCTGTGAAGGTTTGGGGGCATGAAACACAGTACGGAGCGAAAAAGGATGTGGAGGGCAAAATGAGATTCTTAATGGACTCGTTGATGATTTCCATTAATCACAGGGTCTCTCTCATCCCTGGTGCCTCAACTCAACCAACCAGGAAGGAAAGAAAACACAGACTCCCTGAGACCCACCCACTTCTGGGACTCACACGAGTGATGGTTTCCTGGCCTGAGCGGATGTAACAAGTGATTTTGGTATGTGTGATCACGTTCCTTCGCAACAGTTTTTACCCCAGGTGTCATTAATTTCTTTATATCCAGCGGCACCAGCTTCTTTTTTCTAAGACTGCGAACCCGAGAGGGCAGGGACCTGATTTCCTTACCTCACGTATAAAACTGAGCACAGCATCGTGAAACGATAGCCAACGTGAGCACACTTTTTGGACAGTGGAGTACACTTTCAATAATCTCTGAAGCAATAAAGAACCAATCAATGTCACGTTCCATCAGCAACCCTTAAAACGGGCTCCACGATCCCATGAATGCCAAGGCCACGTACACTTGGTCTGGTAGATGGGAACTCTCTCTGGGCTTTTGTGAAAGGACAGGTACCAGGGGTTGGATAATCCTGAGAAGTCCTTCCCAAAAGCATCATTATCACCGGGGGACAAATGAACCAAAGCTTTCAGGTTTAAGACAAACACATCCTACAGAACTTTAGGATGATGATGAGAATTCCAAGAAGGCAACTTTATCTTTGAAATTGATCTTTATGGTTAATCCAGCCTTAATGACGGTATTGGTGCAAAGCAAGAAGGAATGTTAGAAAACCCTGAGCCTGCTGAGCCCCCAAAGACAAACTTCACGATGACAAGGGAACCATTAAAGCAGAGGGAAAAACACCAAGGCCCCCCCCAAGGCATCACCTACTCCTGGTCATGTATTTATATCACTAAGTAAACGTTTACACTATTTTTTTGAAGTATCTAAATTTTAAAACCAAGGCACAGGGCTTCCCCGGTGGTGCAGTGGTTGAGAGTCCGCCTGCCAATGCAGGGGACACGGGGTCGTGCCCCGGTCCGGGAAGATCCCACATGCCGCAGACCTGTGCTCCGCAACGGGAGAGCTCACAACAGTGAGAGGCCCGCGAACAGCAAAAGAAATAAAAATAAAAAATATAAACAGAAAACCAAGGCACAAACATTCACATCCAGATCTGCTTTAGATGTGAGAAGTAGGTGCTACTCCACACACCAGAGGCCTTAGAATTTCTCTAACTTTGCAGGAAGAGAGGCAGTTGTAATTGGGGCTTGGCTTCCTGGCATGACAATAAGATACTGATACAATCAGATGATAATGAGCAAAGACTCAAAGAAGCAAAGACTCTTTGAAAGTCAAGGGGGAGCTCGTGGGGTTACCCACACATACCTGTCCAAAGTTTTCTTCATCAATGCAAAACATAAGGTCCAGTTCAGTCGGATCATTTTCTAAGATCCATTTCAAAGAGTTGTAGTATTCACTATCCTACAGAAATGACACAAAAATTAAAATTAAGCATTTTTCCCCAAAATATACACTCATTTCTTTAAATAATTATGTCCTTTAAATGTAATTCCATCCAGAATCTCAAGAAATGCACTAGTCACATAGAGTCACTTCCAGCTCTACCCCAAACCTACCCTTCCACTTTAATTTAAAAATACAAACTAAAAAACTGCTTTGGTAGTAACAGGGGTTTGTAGTTGGATCCTGTGCTCTGTCAAGAGGAAGCAGCCTGCTCTGGATGTGGCCGTCATAGCATTACGGAACTGAACATGTACAGGTTAACACACTCCCCACCTTTTAAGAGTGAAAATATCAGAGGAAAGTAGGAGGGATAGAGAATGCTCTACTTAAATACCAATGGTTTCAAGTTACGCCCCCTCCTGTGCTTCCAGCACTCTCTGCAAGTCACTGTGAGCAAACAGGAAGAGGCTGCCCCGGTGTCAAAGCCCAGAACACAGGCCCCGAGAGCCTGGACTCCTCTTGTCTCTTGGGCAGCCCCAGGGGCTCGACGAAGACCAAACAGAATGTGTGCACCGACTGTCAACATGGCGAATAAAGTTAACTCAGACTTGAAGAGAGATTTTTATACTCCTAGCTTCCTCACCGTACAGTAACAAAAGCACAAAGCGTAAGCTAAAGGTGAAAGCTGAAGAGAAACTTGACACGGGTACCGTGGATACACAGAGCTGCCCGCCCGTGGAAAACCCAGCTGAGTGGACTTGTGTGCACTGCTGGCCTTCTACCCTCCTTCCACACCCAGAGGATGAGCTGTGAGGGAGGGGTACACAGCTCATATACCCAACTACACAACACGTACAGTCAACACGGCAGCGAGGCTGAGGGGAGGAAGATGCTTTCTGACTCAAGTGACAGAACGTGAGAGCAGAGCTGCAAACACCCCAAATGGACGAAGATGCTTCCCGATGGCCCCGTGTGTGGCTGGTGAATGGTGAGAGGTGAGAGGTGAATGGTGGGAGTACAGGTAAATTAAAAGAAAAACAGAAGCAAAAGTATACCAGGAAAAGAGCATCAACTTTTGTTCTTTATAGAAAAGCCTTTCAACTCTAAAATGGTCAGCCTAGATTAAATAAGTTAAATGCAACATGAAAACCCAAATCAAAAGTTAGCAATTATTTTCTAACTTTTCATTCCTCTCCTACACTGTAGTGGTCCCTTACCCCTTCTTCCATATCTGGGATGAGTATAGTCTTCCCTTCATCTACTGTTTTGGTCTGGCTCCCTGCCATTTTCTGAGGTCGGAAAACAGAGGGCTAGCAGATGAACCTCTAAGTGTTCAGTATTAGCAGTTTTCCATGGAAAACAAGGGCAGCAATGAGGTCTCCAATTGACCCTTGGATTTAATTTGGTCAAACCAGTTCTGAGTAAGCAGAGGTAACTGAGATGTGGGTGTACCCACCCTAAATACCATGACTCTAGGAAATGTGAACAATGATTTGCTTATTAAAAAATTTAGGGAGATCAATTAGCCTCTTGAACAATCCCTGTTGTCCATACTGCATGACGACGCCCATAAAAACTGCTGTAACTACAACATGGTCTCAACTACCTTTCCATAAGGCACAAGCTGCTGGTGAGGTCCACGGGAGTGACCTCTATTTACTCACCACAGATTCCATGTCATTCAGAGTTATCTGCTTTCCCAGCATCATTTTGTAAAACGGTCGAATGAAGAAACCTAAAACACGGTGAAAACTGAGTTAGTTTCAAATCTTTGATGATGCTGTGCATCCGAGCATGAAATAAAAGATTAACCTGCTTTCATGTGAATGAGAGACCAGGACAGAACAATCGAGGGTTTTCTACAGTAAGATGAGGGCCTGGTTTGGGGCAGGGTTGGGGGAAGGGGTTTAGGAAGGAGGGCAGTTATACTAACAGAGATGGTACAGCAGAGGGGTGAGGTCAGAAAGGCTGCTGGAGGTGACAAATGAGCTTCAGGCACAATCAGGAATCTGCAGCGCAAACAGGGTGCCCGCACGGGGGAGAAAAGGGCACTCCCAGCAGAGGGACAAGACCCAGGACTCGCCAGGACCGAAGCACAGGGCGTCCCGGGCAGACAGGCCAGAGGAGGGACTGGGCAGGGAGTGTACAGCTTACACGAGGTGCCGGAGAGTCTGGGCTGCTGCCCAGGGCCAAGGGGAGTCACTGAAACGCCAGGGGGCAATTCCACCTGCATTTCAATGTCATCGCTTGGGCAGTAATGGGAAGAGCAACTGGTAAGGACAGACAGGAAGGAAACGAGGGAGGCCGTTCAGAAGGCTGTGCGGTCTTCCCGGGCGGGGTGATGACAGCCTGAGGGAGACAAGGGCAGTGGCGTCCGGGAGTGATGACGGCCTGAGGGAGACAAGGGCAGTGGCAACGCCGCCATGACTGCGCAGGTGCCCCGCAGGGACCCCACTTCACCCCGTCCCAGGCAAGTCAGCGTCACACGCCTCCTGACACAGGCGCCCCCGGAACCTCAGTCCTCCCCCTTCACCCTCAACTCCCATCCTCAGCGCCCCCTCCAGGTCTAACCAGCCACCCTTGCAGCCCGTTCCCGCTCCCACTGGCTTCAGTGCGGCCCTGCGGCTGAGGCTCAAAGCCCCTGCTGTCTGGGGGGTGAAGCCACAGAAGGGAGTAGGGGCTGATCTGATGTGCAGCGTGTCTGCTCTGCCTCCAGGGCCGTTCATGGTCCCAGGAAACAAAGACACTGCTGGCCACACACCTGGCGGGCATCCGGGCTCTTCTTCTTGCAATTCCCGAGGACACGGTTACCTCCTGTCTCCTTTTGCAGCAGGGACCTAGATGCCCCCATCACTACTCCAGGCAGCCTTGACTCTTGGCCCATCCTTGCCCTTCTGAAACGATCCCAGCTTCTAAGTGTGCCAACCCCACCGCAGCCTCCCGGCGAGGCTAATCCCGGTAAAGCGCTCCCCCCACCCCGAGAGACCTCCGTGTGTTCCCTTCTGCTGGACTCTGGACCCATGTTTCCCGCACTCTCACTAGAACATCGGTCCCCTCAGGTCAGGATCTCAGCTTAAACTTCTCTCTATTTCCCCTGTAGCAACTAAGAACGTCTTCTTGCTCGGCAGAAGGTAAATAACGGACGTTCTGATAATCTATGGCATGACTCCAGTGCTGCAAATTAAAATACATTCACTGCATATACCTATACAGAGTGAGACCAGTTTCCTTCTAATCAGAAAAAAAAGTGTTTACTCCTGCCACCAGCCCCACCCCCCGTAAAAAATAAAATGTTGAAATTAGAGGATCAAAATCAGCTAGCCATTACCAGTAAAAATTTATTAAAGGACAAAGTACACAGGGTACATCAACTAGCATAGCTAAGGTTCCACAAATGCAATTCACATAATTCTCCTGGAAATCTCTCTCTATAGTAACTGCAGTGTCAATCTTAAATCTTGATCTGTCTTCTACTCTCGACCTTTTCACCCCTAAATTCTTCAAAAATATTTCTGGTTCTCTTTCCTCACTGATGATTTCTGTAATGTTCTCTTAAGGGCACTACTTTTTCAATGACCAAATCCGTAAGAAGTCTCTATTATATGCCTATTGATTCAGCCAGGGAGGGGGGTTTCACTCGTGACTTCCAAGGTACCTTGAAATTCTTGGCACTTTGCATGACTTACGTGCTTTAGATAATAATGAGATTATTCTGTGCCATCTGTTTCAGCAGTGATCCCAGGGGTCAAGGTCTTAGCTGAGTTATAACACTGCTTGGAAATTATTTACGGTCTCTTCACATTCAAAAAAATGGTAATTTGGGGACAAACAGGACAATGGCAGGATACTGGCTGAATCAGACCATTTTAATGAACTTTTCAATCAATACTTTCCATCTGTCATCAAATCTAGTTCCCGCTAAAGAGATTTTATTCTGGAAAACATAGAAAATGCACAAATACAGAATGTTCTGTGCGTCACACTTAAGTTTTTCAAAAAAAAGCTTTTTCAAACTGTGTGCAGACACTGTGTCTTCAGTGCTCAGATTAAGATGACACCAGGAAAAAAAAGCACCTTCATTATGGACAAAACATTAAAGAACCTACTGATTTACAGAGGGAGAACCAGTGAAGCACTTTTGCTTAAAACCTATGATGTGAAAGATAAGACACCTGATAAGAGACCACAGACAGCACTGTCCAATTTTCATTACTTCCACACTTTTTAATAACTTACCATCTAAAAGTTTCCCATGAAATACTGCCAGACCAGCAACTCTTCCG